AACTAGGAATATATATATATATATATATATATATATATATATATATATATATATATATATATATATATATATATATATATAAACAAAATTCATTAATCATTTATTTTAATATAGTAGTAATTATATTAATACTTTTAATAAAAATTTAAAATTAAAAAAGAAAAGACAACTACCCCTACGAACTAGTTTTCAATAAAGAGATTGAGGTGCAAAGGAAAAACAGGTTTGAAGGAAGAAAAAACCAATAAGAAAGGGTTTTGCTGATTCCAATAATACTTTTACTATGTTCAACTCAATTTTTTTTATTGTTTTCAAAGAATTAACAAATGTGTTTGTATTGTGTCATAATTAACTAATCCCATTTCACCGCACAACACAATAAAAATACATTTATACTATGTAATCAAATTAAATATAAAACATATTACATGCTATTCAATAATAACTGAATTACTAGGGGTATAAATTACATTTTAATTGAAATTAAATAGATGATTGCACAAACCATTTTTTTAAACAAGGTCAAATATGTGTTGGACAACAAATAGATCGCATGTCAATGACACTAACAAAATCTTAGAAATTAGATGGCGGACTGAGAAGGAATTAAAATTATACAATTGCAATATTTATATGAGTTAATTTGCTTAATTAAAACTTGAGATATCAAACTAGAAAAAAAAAATATTCTAAAGCAACTAGTTATGAACTGTCTATAATAATTAAGACTCCTGCAGCATTCACTAATTACTAATTTTAAGCTTTTTATTAGTTAAGTTTAGGTAATAGTAATTTTAAAAAGAAAAAAAAAATCCATCAGATAGAATCATTAAGACACCTTCAATAGTTTAAGAAATCATAGTTTAAGAAATAATTAGAATATATATCAAGGATAAAGCACGCAGTGAAATTGACATTGCAGCTAACTATAAAGTTGATTAGGAGGTTAAGAGTTGGTGCTGGTCCTGACTTGGGAAGAATTACTGGTTAGAGAAGATGGGAAGAAGATGAACCATATTCTTCTATCTCTCTATTGATGTTGATGCTTCACTCCACGCAACTCACGGAACTATGTTACCTTAAGTGCTTCACCCTCTTTCAAACAATAAAAATAAATTACTCTTTCTGTTAAGTTTTACAATTTCAGTGTCACTGTTCCAAAACCTTAGCTCTTTCTTCCCTCATCTTGTTTGTGTTAGTGAAGAGAATATATGGTGGGAGCAAACGACAGGACCCACAAACTTAGTGGGGGCAATTCGCATCACTCCTTTTCATCAAGCTTTGTCAAGTTGAAAGCATAGTGTAGAGAATAGGATCTTAAATTGCTTTTGATCTCCCCAAGCATCATAGAATACATTTTTGTTTATAGTTGGTTCATGAAATGACTCTTCACCAAGCAACCTCACTCACTCTTTCTTTCTCTTCTTCTCCCCCATTCCATTTTTCATCTATGTAGGAATCTATCCCACCCTAGAGAGAGAGAAAGAGTGATGGGATTGCACTCAAAAATGCTATTGACCATCTTTCTATTAGTTTTGACCCAACAATAATATTATCAATCTCACTCTTTTGGTCACCGTTACTTAATTCACGCCTAATTTTAAGTTTTTGGCTATCATTTTATTAACCAAAAACTCATTTTGTCCTCAAAACACAAAAAGTCTAACTCAAAACCTTTATTACCCTTGAATGGTTCAACTTTTCCATCAAGCTGAATAACAATACTAACAGAAGTGTTGTTTGTAAGCATTCTTCTAGAACAATATCAGCCTATAGTTTGAGTTTTTCTGCTTACCACCCATTAACAAGAATCTGGAATGATGAAACTAGCAACATAGATCAAGAATGATCCCAAATGCGTTCTTTTCGTTCATTATTTTATTCAATCTTGAAAACACGTCAGGTCTAGAATCTAGATAATGGCTATTTGTAAAGTTGTTTCTAGATTTTGATAAAAATTGGGAAAGTGTTTTTAAAATTCCAATGCACAATTAAGAAAATGTTATTTTATAATAATTTTAAACATATATCATGTTACTAACTGATGTAGTGGGGGATGTTGTCCGTGATTGTGGTACAATTTCTCAGGAACAATGTTATTTTTACATTATTTCTTCTATAATAAAGAGAAAAAAAATGTAAAATAATATATTCTTTTACACTGGGAGATAATGTAAGTTAACTAGTCACTGAATGGACAGAAAAATAAATATTACAAAACTAACATTATTTTTTGAATTATTGCTTTTGTGGCACTGTCAAGAGAATTTTGTGATTATATAAAATACTCATAACAGAAATTATATGCAGTACTCGCTTACATCTTTATAATGTAAAGAGTGGTTATTGATATGTTTTTCGCATGATTATATATTATAGGAGTTAAATATATTTTCCAATAGTATGATTATAAAATTTATATTTTTCTTTTGAATTAAATCATTTTATATTATTTTGTAAAAATAATGTAAAACATTATTTTTAATAAATGGTATGTCCAACATTTTTTAAGTAACATAAAATTTATAAAGAAAATAATTTATATTTTAATTTGATAATAAAATGTGGTATTTTATAATAATTTTAGAATGAACAAAAATTTAATCTAACTTTTAAATATTTTTTTGTTTTATATAAAAAATGAATCAAATTCATTTCAGAAAATATTTAAATCAATGGAGTTGACATAGATAAAAATATCAGTTCTAAGTTTTATTTTTAAAACTTATTTATATCTGACATAACTAAAATATTATTAGTTAAACAAAATTGACTGAATAACTAAAATATATATTTAAAATTTTAATCTTCTTTTTTATGTAATCAACTTTTTATTAAATTTAGCAATAAAATAAAAAAATATAATCTATTATAGAAATAATTATGAAAATCATACATAAGTTTTTATTAAAGAATATATATATATATATATATATATATATATATATATATATATTAAAGTTAAATATACTTTTTTTAAAAGTTAATATCAATAAAAGTTTAAATAACTCGCTCATATTGACTTTTAGTTTAAAGTAAATTGTCAAATTAACTTAATAAGTTAAATAATTATATATTTTTTTTAAATATTAAATTCTACTTCAAATGAATTCACTGAGTTGAACTCATTCAGACCTAATAAAAAACTATGATAATAAAAAACTACAAAAAAACTCAATAAAAACATAATTTCTCAAACATATTCAATACTTACTCTAAAAGGGTAATTTTGTTTCTCTCTTATAATATTCCCTTTTTGAGACTTTAAAAAGACTAAGATGGTCTTTGAAATAATGAAAGAAAATACCATTATTAAAATTGTTTGTGTTATGAAATTAAGACATATTTCACACTAAATTAGGGAGAATACTTCAAAAAATATATATTTTTTATTTCTTATTTACATTTTAAATTTACTTCACTTGGAGATCACTGTGACTTGACATGTTAATTTGATGTCATATATGATACACCACCTCATGATAGCTACCGAAACTAACTAACAAACTAATTTAAACATTTATATTAACATTAATAATATAATATAGGTTTAAGTGTTAAGTATAAAGTTGAGTATGTTTATTTCAGTTTTTAATACTTTTTTATGATATATTGAATATTAAAAGATTTATATTTTTAATCAAATAGGTATCATCTAACTTTTTTAATTAAATAACATACTGTTAACATTTCATTAATTTATTAGATTATTTTATAATTCTATATTTTAATAATAATATCAAATAAAATTGATTGATATATGATGTACGTGTTTTGTTTTTTATTTTCAATAATTCACTTTCTTATTTCATGCTTGAAAATTATTATAATTGTATTCAGCATATGAACTAATAGATATAAGATTAGAAGTTGATATATATATTGAAGACTAACAATATATTTTCATACAAAATAAGTGTTTTTTATCTGACTATTTAAATATAATATTGAAGAATGCTCATTTTATACGTTATGTGTTTGTGAAAGAACAATGTTATCAATTTTTCTTACTGTAAATTAATTATCAAGATTAAAATATATAAATTATGTAATTTTGGAAACAACTGGCTTCATTTAAGTGATATTGTAATTTTAAATCGAACTATTAATGTATTATTCTACAACCAATAGTTATTTCTCTTATAAAAGATTATTCTCTTATTATATTACATTATATATAGAGAGATACTTTAATATTATTAGCAATTTTACATAAAATATAATTTTTTTTATTAAATTATAATTATGTAAAGAAGAGGTTTATCAAAATTGAATAATTATAGTTTTATAAGTGCGCATAATAATAAATATTAAATAATATAATAATAAACGAAACCTGTAGGAAGGGTGTTATAGTATCAACTATTCTTCCTTCAATGATACATAATTCAGGCATGTGACTTATATACTAAACCAGGAAAAAAATATTCTATAAATTTCTCTGTTTCAAATAAAATCACAACGGAAACAAAAACAGGCAAATTACAACATAATCATTGGAACAGTTGAGCAGCAAAATTTGTTGTCTACTGTGACACGTAACATCATATTCTTTGCGGGCACATTATTCAAATCTAATACGAACAACATTATCTTAAAAACTGATTGATTGACAATACAAAAAGTATTTATATTAATACGTACAAAAATTAAAACCCATTGTAAAACTTTGATAATTAGTGGACAAAAAACAAAATGATGAAGTAAATTAAGAAATTGTTGCAAAAGTTATAATTCAAAACAGACAGTAGAAGAAAAGGTGGAAATATAATGTTAAAGAAACATAAAGTAAAATACATGGTTCTGTGTAATGAATAAAGAAAAGTATGCGTATCAGCTGTTTGAAAATATGTGGTACTTGTTTTGTGGGTATAAAAGGTTGATGAATGAATGAATGGCGGTGAAAGGCACGAAGGAGGCACTCCAAAAAAATGCTAAAACTTTGTTGGACATGAGGTTTTATGTTGTGTTTTGGTAATTTCAAGCACAAAGGTAAAAACAGAGGGTGAGAGAGAGTGTGTGTGTGTGTGAGAGAGTGTCCCATTCCCATCCCCCACACAAAAGGTGGTGGGAAAAAAGTTCTTTTTGTACACACTGCGATGATGGCGATGATGATGCCTGCAATCTCCAACACAAACACAAACACCATCTCTTTCTCTTCTCTCTCTCTTATCACTCTCTTCTTTCTTTGAAGCCAACCATGGTTAACATCTTCTCCCTCAGTCCGTGATTAATATGAAAGTTGTGAGCATGGAGACAGAGAAGAAGTGCGGTTGCTGGGCTGTCCTTAAACGCGGTGTTAGAGGTGCGTGCAAACCTTCAGCTTCCAGAGACTCTGCTAACACTATCCCTCGTACTAGTCTCGTTTATGATGCAGGTACATACACAACACAACATAAACAATTTTTTTCCACCTTGGAGAATTCTTCATCTTCATTGTGAATCTCAACCACTATATTGTTTAGTGTCACTCCTCTCTCTCTCTCTCTCACCACTGAATGAAGTTTCAAGTTTGGCCACACCCCATGAGTCTCTTCTCTGCTTTTGTTTACTTTCTTCTTTTCTGAAGCTTAAAGTTTCTTCTTCCTTCTAATTCGGAAATAAAAGTTTGTGGTTTTGCAGTACCTTATTTAGAATTTGGGCCTGACTTATCCCCGACAAACTTGATTTGTAAACGGAGAGATGCATAAGCTATATAAGCTCTTATTAGGCACAGTCTTTAGCCAATGTAGGACTTGATTTTTTCGAAATACCTGATTCTGGGTTTGCTTGAAATCATGGAGTTTTCTGGGATGGTTATTTTTTTATATAAAAAATGAACTTTCTGTGGCAGGCATTTTTATGGAGTTTAATTATGACGTGGGTAGTTAAAAAGATGGATCTTTTTCAGCTTTATCGATGTGCGTTCTCAGAACCCTTTTCTCCATCTTCTTGTTTCAGACACTGTAAGCATAGCTAACTGCATGATTCCTTCGAAGGAACGTGGGGTGGTGCGCAGAGCAAACTGAGCTATTCCCCCTTGTAAAATTCAAAAGGATTTATATTTTTCATTTCCGTAGAGAGTGAATGGATTTTCTGGAATTTGAAGCTTTATAAATTTTGTGCTTGAAAGTAGAAACTAAGGATTTATTTAATCCGTTGTGATATGATGGTTTCGATTGCATTGTCAGATCCAAAACCAAGCTAAATGCAATTATCAGAAATCTTATTCATGAGTATTGGGAATTTCAAGAAGGAAGCCTTCACATTCTTTATTTTTTACTGATGCAGCAAGCGAAACAAGATACCTGAATGCTAGCAATCGAGAACTTTGTCCTCCCCTCGAAGCTCGATTATCTTCTGATAACCCTGATCCCCCACCCCAGGAGAACAAGGCTGCATGCCAGCTCCTTCAATTTTCATTTCAAGAACTTAAAGCTGCAACTGGAAATTTCAGACCTGATAGCATTCTTGGGGAAGGTGGCTTTGGTTATGTTTTCAAAGGATGGATTGAGGAAGATGGAACCTCGCCAGCTAAACCTGGGTCAGGGATTACAGTGGCTGTCAAAAGCTTGAAGCCAGATGGCCTTCAGGGCCATAGAGAATGGGTGGTTAGTAAAATATCTGCTTTGGGTTAGTAGATTGGTGTTGTAATGTGATGTTTAGGATAGGTTGGAGATTGAATTGTAACATGACATTTTGTTGATGCAGGCTGAAGTTGACTTTCTTGGACAGCTTCACCATTCTAACCTTGTGAAACTTATCGGTTACTGCATTGAAGATGATCAACGGCTTCTTGTTTACGAGTTTATGACCCGTAGAAGTCTAGAAAATCATCTATTCAGAAGTTAGTTTCTGCCTTGCCTTTCCTTTCTTTTCTACGTAGAAATTATGAGGACTGCTACATATCTGAGATTATGTGGTAACAGTTTCCAGGTTTCCTGCAAAATCGTTCGATTGCTATTGCTTGAATAATAAACCAAAACTAATGAAGTGATCTGCTTTTGTTAATCGGTGACTTGATGCAACATTGTAGAATTCTTTCTTCACCAGCATATATTTTGCATTTCTTTTTCCCCTTGTAGGAATTATTTACTGGAGCAATTAGTGTGACTTGTATCACAACTGATTATTGTCTTATTTATATAAAAATTAAAATTAGCTAGCAAAATGTTATGTCATTTATCATGAAGTGTTCTTGAGTAGTAGCAAATGACTTTATATGTTAAAAGGATAAAATTATGCATTCTGTGGTTATTGAAAATACTCCATAGAATTAACCACATAAAAATATTACTCGAGGATATTAACAGGAAATTTCATGACTTCATACTCTTTCCGTAATCTTTTCTGTATCATCTAATAACTTTTTCTTTTCACTATTTATTTGCCTTCTCCCCTCATTGCTTCCATATTCTTGATGATGATGATGATAGATCTGGCATACCTTACAACTAGTTATTCTGTTCTGGTCCCTTTCCTCTTGATCACGGTATCTAACAATTAAAGTCCCGATTTTGCCACAATTTGAAGGAACCGTACCTCTCCCGTGGCCCAACAGGGTTAAGATTGCCCTTGGTGCAGCAAAAGGATTGGCCTTCCTCCACAATGGTCCAGAACCAGTCATTTATAGAGATTTTAAAACATCTAATATTTTGCTGGATACGGTACGTGGTTACTGAAATAATCCAATCAGTTTCAGAGAAGTTTGTTTTATTACTTATTAACATGTCGTATCTTACAGGAGTATAATGCAAAGCTTTCAGATTTTGGTCTAGCAAAAGCAGGACCTCAAGGAGACAAAACACATGTTTCTACCAGAGTAGTTGGAACTTATGGTTATGCTGCTCCAGAATATGTCATGACAGGTAAGAATGAAACTCTTTAAAGCTTTGGATATGCTGTGGTGAAAGTTGTATTATGGATTACAATTTCTGCTACAGCGCAGACATTAAGGCAGCGCATGTTCATCTATCCAGACACCTGTAGAAGTCTTTCTAAGACCTATGAGAACTAAACAACTGCATGATTTTCTGTTTGTTTTCTTTTACCAGGGCACTTGACTGCTAAGAGTGATGTTTATAGCTTTGGAGTTGTGTTGCTTGAGATACTAACAGGAAGAAGATCAATGGACAAGAAGCGTCCGAGTGGGGAGCAAAATCTTGTTTCTTGGGCTAGGCCATACTTAGCTGACAAGCGAAAGCTGTACCAGCTTGTGGATCCTCGCCTGGAGCTAAATTATTCTCTAAAAGGAGTGCAGAAGATTTCCCAGTTAGCTTATAGCTGCCTCAGCAGAGACCCTAAATCTCGCCCCAACATGGATGAAGTTGTGAAAGCGCTGACTCCATTGCAGGGGCTTAATGACCTTGCAATTTTGTCTTATCACTCTCGCTTGTCCCAACAAGGGAGACGGAAGAAGAAAGATGGAACTCCACACATCACATACACACAATCCAAGAGCATGAGGGCCTCTCCTTTGAATACCAGCAAGCAGCATCGGTGAGACGAAAAAAATGGTCCTCTTCTTTATTGCTGGCTTAATCATTGATTGAAACCAAGGTTGGAATGCCTCCTTTGTTGTTGTTGTGTGGAGATGGACATTTCAAGCTTACATATTTTTTGGGTGTTTAAAATATGTCAGGGCCAGAAGAATGAGGAAAGAGTGATGAATGATGATACATTGATTTTATTTGAGCTCTTTTATTAGGGAGCTAACCATCAATATGCAAAGAAACTTGTCATTTGCTTATGCTGTAACTGAGAATTCCCCTGTATGTATATGAAATGCCTCACTTCTCAGAATGTCTTTTTCAGCGACCTGAATCGATTGCATTTTTCACTGGTTATACTACTTTAATTCCAGATTTTATGCATCTTTAAATCTATTGAACCAAATGCCTCACTTCTCAGAAAATTTGTTTGCTACTTATATCTTCAGCAGCATTTATCGTAGTAAGTATTCATTGTATATACTTTTAGGAGATTAAGGCCACTAAAAGCAAAGTTGTTCAACATCTTCTATTGTTTGGACAGATACTTGTTGCAGGCCAGTATATGTCCGATTCTATATTCCAATTGGGTAATGTTAAAGAAAAATATCCACGCGAATCAGTATATATACTTGATACCAACATTGATAGCATATATGTCTTTGTGCATAGCATAACTGTCTGTGGACTGTATTGTCTTAATATCTGTCTTGCTTGATAATTTGAAATGGGAAAAGGAATCTGAATTTGCTTTAATTTATTCGTTATTGTAAGAAAGGTAGTCACAAAGTTTCCTTTTGATATCAAAGCAGCAATTATATATAGAATCTGCTTACCGTCAGTAATTTGAAACTTATGCCATTCCTAGCATCAATCATGCTGTAATCTTTCGTAAGCTCGCACCGTTCCTTTTGAAGATGCCTGGCATGAGAGAATAGGTTTCTGTTCTTTTTTATGGGCACATGATTAGGCTTTTTTCTTTTCATTGATTTGACATTATAGATAATAAAGGTGTCCCGACCAAATTGAGAATACTTTGATAGACCATGTTGCCCCCATCTCTATAGTTTTGTCACATGCAACTCATCCATTGCTCAAATTAGAAAAATCAAGACAAAATTTCGAGGCTTAACAGTGAGGAATTCACCTTGGTAATGATGACACGGGATTTAAGTTTATGATTGTGCGTATAATGCTAACTAGCAACCACACATCACCAATTTTCTCATACAACAATTACCTTTAAAGAACAATTTCTCACACTGAACTTTTATTCTTGGCCAAAGAAGTTTTTGAAACACAATGCTCTTGCAACTTCAAGTTGTTTGGTGCATACCCTTTTTGGTACAAGTTTTCTTGATTTTCACAAATACCCTTTTAAATCAATATTTTTTTCTCAAAAAACAGTGTCCAGCACAGAGTTGATCTGATCATGGATCATGGAGGTGTATGCCTTTTGACAAAAGAAACTGAGACATGTATGTACTACTTACTCACCCCTGGTAGCAAGATTCTTAAGGTTACAACTTACAATATTTACCTCAGCAATATTAGAGGTCTGAGACAGGACGCATGCTTGGTAAAAAACAGGTAAATATCCTCGTTAACTGGGGACAAATGAATAGTACAATGGCAACCCAATCACTGTTATAGGCCCTGCCAAAAGTCTGTGATGTATCTTTATTATAGTTGTTAAAGCTACACTTACAAAATCCAATTCATTTCCTGCACGAAAGAAACCCAGTGAATACCATATCGTGACAAGAAGATAGAAAAGTAAAAGGCAGGAAAACCAGCAATAATGCCTTCTCAGTGGTTACTTAGGTGGCGACGAAAACTTTTTTCTCTCCCCTTATTATACCAGCATGTGCATATCCAAGATAGTGGCAAGAAGATTCACTGGGCAATTATTTAACCTGTGTGTACTCAAATCATAAGTAGGCATGGTTTAAGACCAAAACACATTACCTAATTAATATATCAGCATGCATATTAATATGATCATTCAAATATTGGACTAAATATCTACCAATCTTTGACCTTATCTTGTCACTATTAGGATAAACCAAATGTATCTGTATAGTCCATTATTGACACTATGCATTGGTCCTTCAGGTAAACAAAAAATTAGGCTCCAAATACAGTTAGCTAGGGTGGGTTGGACCAGGAAGCAGTGTGAGTGAGAAAACTAACACTAACACTGCAATCAAACAAACGATGGGAAAAAAAATGGAACATAATGATACCAGATTCCCCTCCTTGCTTTTCTGAAACAATGAGCTTCTGGTTATACGGTTCAATGGGCAAAACTCCTTATCTATTATTACTGTTCTTTCCTTTTCCCCCTTTAAGAAAAAAATTGTCAGAATTGTGCATCATTTCTTTGTTCTTGTAAGATAGTCCATATCCTCTGGTACGTGCCAGTGTGTTTAAAAAATAAAAGATTTATACATGTTGATGATGTTTAGTTCCCAGAAAGTTCATTGGAATCTTATCATTTTGAACTAAAATTAGATCCTTGTTGCCATACATATCATGATTATGACTTTCTGCAAGAACTTCCAAAGTAAGTAGCAACCTTCTTGTTTGAGGGTCAATCTGGTTAATGCCCATGACCTTGAGAGAAACTATGTTACAATAACATATACTAATGTTTGTGGGCTTCAATGTGATCAAATGTAATCATTCATGTTTCATTGGGTTTGGGTTCAACTGGGTTTTATCTGTAGGAACATGGTTTAAACCAACTCTACTTATTCGATTTTCGTATTGCTCAACCTTTTTCTTTAACAAAATTTCCTATTATCTAGGTAAAGTTTTAAAAAACAAAATTACAAATTTAAGTCAGGTGGTCATTTTAAATTGGTGGTAACCTAGTTAACAAATTTACTAATTTTTTTTCCACAATGAGTTGGACATTTAAATGATAACTTTATTTTCTTTTTATCTTTTATATGCGTACATTTAATTTAAAAAGTTGATTTATATTATTATAAACTAATTATAAATATGTTAAGTAATTAATTAGAAACACTTGGTTTATATTTTATAATTATAATAGTATTGTTTTTAAAAATAAAAGTTAGATATTTATTTATTTCAAAATGAATATAGTTACTTTTTAATGATAAATTTTAAATGCTTTTTTTTGCTCAAGTTAATCTTTTCATTATAACCGGTTTATTAATGTGATTCAAAAGAGTTAAACAAAACTGAAAAAATAACGGTTAATATTTAAAATTTTATGTTATTTTCAAAATAACCGTAAACTGTAGAAAATAATTTAAAATTTGCATTAATCGAAAGTAATATACATAATATTTATTAATTTTTAGATTAAAAATGTTTATTGCATTAATTAAAGTTATTGATGTGATTTATTGAAATTTATTTACTTAATTATTGATTTAAAATCCATTGAAATGTGTATATTTATTTTTTTCTCCTTTGTAAATTAAAAGTTAAAAACAATATTGAAATTAATTATGAAAAAATCTTAATTAATTTTTCATAAATATTATAATATATTTATAACTTTCATTCTCCATCTAAGTTATCATAATTAAGCATTTAATTTTAGTAAATTGAACACTTTATTTTATTCATTTATGTCGAGGAATTTAGCTTTTTTCTAAATGAAATTTAAAATATAAAATCATTTTCGTAAAAGATATCATAGGTTTACGGTAACCAATCTATATTTTTACTTAGTTTTTAAATAGGTATTTTAACTATGTATATGAAATAATTTTATCATAAATTTAGTATTGCTTTCGTTTTTCTTACTTAATAAAATATTCATATAATAACATGTCTAACGTTAACTTATTTAAAATAAGTTATAGTTGACTTGCTTATATAATATTTTTCAATTATTTTATTTTTTAAATTACATAAATAAAACTCACAAGGAATGGTCAATTTTAGCTTAAATAACGATAAAAAAAATTCAAAATTTATTGTTAAAACACAACGAAATACATAAAAAAATAATTAAGTTTATAAATTTATTTTTAAAATAACAATATTATAATTAAAAAATATAAATGAAGTGATTTCAATTATATACATTAATTTTAATTTATATGTTTATTATTATTTTACAGAAGTATAATATTATATATATATATATATATATATATAAAATTAAGAAAATGATCAAGTAACTGCTCTCGACAAACAAAATCCATTTCAATTAAAGATAAATAAAGTTTTCAATTAAATAATTATTTGAAGAAAAACAAATTTTTAGATGAACATTTCTTCATATAATGTCAACCCTACTTTTTAAAACTTATGCTCAAACACCTAAATTCATTAAGAAATTGTCACATTTTGGGTCAAAAACCACCTTCTTTTATATAAATATCAGAAATTCAATTTGCACTTTTTCACAACTTTGAATCTTGATGTAGCCACGATATAATTTATTAAATATTTTTTATCTTACAATATTAGATAGTATATACAACTTTTAACAGTTTATTTATTTAATAGTACAAAGTTTTCAAATTAAAATAGATTTTAATATTATATCATAATTCTTAAAAATTGGTTAATTATGAATTTTTCTGCTGCCTCAATTAGGCTAGCAATGAAACTCACACACAAGAAATAATGTTCCTTTGTTTAAACTTAAATCTTAAATATTTAACGTTTACAAAACAAATTTAACTTCTTCAAAAACATTATGTGAGACTTGAAAAACAGTTATAGCAAAACTCTTAAATTTATTGAGAATCCAAAAAACTCTCTCATTAATTTGATTAATATGTTAATAGTACAATAAATGGAAAAGAAAACAGAAGAATAAATTATCTCATAAACTCTGGGTTTTATCCATTGTTGTATTGTGTTTCTGTACATACCATTTAATTAGTTATTTAGATTTAAATAAATAGAAATTTTCTATTTTCTATTATTCTAGCGGAAATTATAATGTTTTTACGAACAAGTAAATTATAATTCTATTCTTTTCCTTTCATCTTTTATCTCATTTTCTTTGTCAACAAAATTATTAACATAAATTTTTCAAAGGTATTTTTCATCAAAATTTCATTTATTCTTATGAATTAATTAAAAGTCATTATCTGATGCATAAAAAAAAACGCTTTTATTTTTTACTTTTCTAGCAAATATTTTATTCCCCTCTTTGAATAGATGCCATAATAATTGTCAAAAGAATTCCAACTGAGTTGATTGAGCAGGCGTATTTGTAATTTCTTTTAAAGTGTGTTCAATTTCAATGAATTATAAAAATGTTACAGTAATGTCTTTTAAAATTTCCAATATAATTAAGAGAAAATATTTTGA